TTGCAACAGCATGGAAGAAATTAAAAGAAGAAGAAAAAACCTAGATCTCTCCATATATATTATATACATCACTCTTTGGAAAAACAGAAATAAAAGAAATCAAAATAAGAGAAGTACTAATAAAAGACCTAATTCTAAAAGAAACATAAGACAAACTGGCATAGCTCTTAAATTCAAAATCAAGACAGCAATTTGCAAATGCAGTGACAATAACAGTCTGGGATATATTTTACAAACAAGTATGGAGAATATGTTGTGAAAAAATTATCAAATAGGAGGAAAAATTGAAATAACAAGTAAAATTAAAAGAAAGAAAAATAGAAAGCTAAAGGAACCAAGAAAACGAGAAAAGATAAATCAAGAAAAAACAGAAAAAAAGAAAAAAGAAATAAGAGAAAAAGGAAAGCAAGTTAAGAAGAAAGTAATAAAAACAATGTTGGTGCTTGTTATAAAAGAGAGAAGACCTTCCATTATGGACTTTAAGTAGTCAGACAAGCAGCTTATTTCTGTTCAAAGTAATGTGGCAAGTTGTACTTAGATACTAGCAAGGTAACTAGGTGATGCTAGACTTAGATATTAGGAATATTTATGTAGTTACAAATATAATTCCAAAAACTTAATAAAGTACTAGCATGACTACTTATATGTCAAAAAAAAATATATATATATATAAAATATAGTGATTTTTTATATAAAATATACTTATATAGCAAATTTATAAAATTAATAATTAATATATTTTTAAATAATATAAATATAAAATATATATTAAGAGGTTTATTTTATATTATAAATATAAATAAGATTTTTAAATTTTAAAAAAATTTTATAATTTCTAACTTTTTTATATATAAGTATTATTAATTTTATTATATAAAATTACTAATTTTTTATATAGTGAATTAATTTAAATAGGTAATTTTTTTTTATTATAACTTTTTTTTTTATATAATAATTATAATTGAAATTTTGCAAGTTTATACATCAAGGTTACACTAAAGTACTTGCATAGTAGCACAAAAAAATACTCAACTATGATTGGTTAATTTAGTAATATATCAAAAAATTTTAATTTTTTAATTTTTTTTTAAAAAATTAACCAACTTTGAAATTTTCTAAACCAAATATGTAATCAAAAATTAATTTAATTTTGTTTTATAAATATATTCTATAAATCTTCAAATATTAAATATATTTATTTAATTACAAGTTAATATGTAAAATTTTGTATAATTATATTTTAATTCAAATATATTAAGTTGGTATATCATGCTTAATAAGATGACCAATAGTATATAATATTAAAGTTTATTAGAAGCTAAATTTATTACTATAAGAACTTAAATATTCACTTTTAGCTTTTTATTCTGTAATACTCAAATGATAATCAAAGTTTATAAAATGTCATAATAGTTGATAAAGTATAATATAATAAATAGTTTTGATTATTATACAAATTAAATTATTATAAAGTTATATAAGAAAAGTTAAATATAATAATTTTTATAAGAATATCTGTTGATTTATAATTGTGATGAATGCATATATAAAAAATATCTAAAATTTGATAAATAAATTATATAAATTAATTATACTTAAAATTTAATAGACAAATTTTATTTAAAATACTATATAAGTTATATACTTTGTAATTTTATTACTTTATTTCTAGAATATTTAAATTTAAATACAATATAATTATAATAAAAAAAGTGTTTTATTCAAAGTAAATCTCTTTTGTTTATGATCAATTGCAAATTAAATTATTTATATTGAACTTAATTATAATTAATATAATTTTTTATCAGTTTTAATATATATATAAAATTAATAGTCTCTGCTATACAATATAGTATATTTAACAAAAAAATAATATAAAATATTTACATTTTATCTTATATTAACTAATCAAATTATTAGTGCCACAGACAAAAAATTTATAATGTCTTATGTGTTATAATACATTGTACAAGTACTGATTGGGACCTAAGGATTGAATATACATAATTGATCACAAACAGTAAAACATATATAATTGTGCTTCAACACTCAAACAATCCTAGCAAGATGAATGTATCTAAATTAAGAAAGGTATAGAATCATAAATATGGTGTTTCAAAGTAACAAGATTCAGGTTATCAAAAAGGTAATTTAGTATAATTATAATAGAATAAAGTAAAAGTAAAACAATTAAGAATACAATATTTAACCAGTCTAATGAAACCTACAATAATATGATTAAAGAGGTAGAAAAAGGAGAAAAAAATAGAAGGAAACCTAAAAGCAAGTAAAATTAGTAATAGTAAAAAATATATAAAAGCAAAAAAAGAAATTTTAATAAAATACTTATCTTTTATGTCTTAGTTAATATTAGAAAGATCAAAATTCCTATAGTAGTATATTATAGTTATAAATGCATAGTAGTTAGTGCTTATTAAATACAAAAGTTAAAGTACAATAAATAAAATACTCATCAAATCATAATTTAAAACTTGAATCTTGTTTTACCATATTCATATTATTATGCAAAATTTTGTCTATTGGAGCAAAAACTTACTGTTTACCTATTACACTAGATATGCATTGTATCTTGTATGTACTGTATGTACTGTACACAAAAAAATCTTGAAAAATAGCACATCACTAGACTTGTAATATATGATAGTAAGATCACTAAAAAATAAATAAATTTTTAGACTCATATATAATGTAAAAACACCTCATTTACTATTAACAATGCACTCCTTTTCTGGTATAAGCAAAAACTTACATTTGTTATATTTTATCAAATTCAATTTAAATGTTAATATTTTTTTTATATAGAATTTGTAATACATATAATAATCAATCTGGTGAGATCAGGAATAAAACTATTAAAAAACAAAGCATGACTTTAAACTAAAATAGATGCACATACAAATAAGATACCTACATAGGTTTGTATAAGTAGATTAAACCAGTTGCACTCTATTCATCATATATCACTTTCTTTTTTTTGCAATATTTGAGGTACTACACAAAGTCACAAGGAGTGATCATCCAATCAGATCTAAAATTTTATACATCCATACACTACATTGTACATTGTTCCTGGTATTTCAATATTTTTGTCAATGCTTAATACATATGAAAAATAAAATACATGCAAGTGTATAACAACCGTAAATGATAAATAGTAAACGGGGTCCAACTGGTATAATGACAAGCCTCCATATTAATGCAAAGATAAATCAAGCAACAATGAAACTGGATAATTCAACAAAAGGGAAAACAAGCATTAATATTAAATAGGAAAAAAATACCTGCAGCTAAATCGAGTGCATAACAACTGTAAATGATAAATGGTAAACAAGCCCCATATCAACGCAAAGATAAATCAAGCAATAACGAAACCAGATAGATCAACAAAAGGGAAAACAAGCGCTGATATTAAATAGAAAAAAAAATACTACGAGACACAACACATAATTGACAATTTCAACAAAATCATGACTAAAACGAGTTATAATCTGATGTACTTAGAATATATGTAAAAGTCACACAACGCGAATATTATAGCACGGTAAATTTAGGTAACGATATCATACAAATGCAAGCACACGTTAGCATACAAAGTCACAAGGTAGGAACATCCAATCAGATGCCCAGAATTGCGACGTCCCATAAAATCTTACACTCCGTATTTCATACTCCGTTCCTGGTACACTACATTGTGGTTCTACCATAAAATTCCGACATCTAAAATCTCGAAAACCATAATCCCGACATCACGCGGCATAACAATTAATATTTAAAGATTAGTACGTTATCATAATGCCAATTATTGTCAGGCTTTAAATTTTAATTATCGCTTCGCGTGATGTCAGGATTATGGATTTGAGATTTTAGATGTCGGGATTTTTTGGTAGAACCACTACGTTGTACGTTGTACAAACTCCTATTGGTACACTTGTCGTATATATTTAAAAAAATATGTCCAAAAATTGGTTATTTTTGTCAACAAATCAAGACAATACATCACTTATTGATTTTTAAGGGGCCTAGTAATACAAAAAAAACTATCTATTGAAGAATTTAGATGATCCCTAATTTTAGCACGAATTGTTTTTTTACATTTTTCATTGGAGTAACGTTACATAAATACTATCTATTGGCTTAATTGTTGCTTTGTTTTTTTTTTGTAATTTGTAATTAATGTAGAGAGGAAGAAAAGAAAATGTTTAGGCATGCCTTTGGTCATGCGAACTATAGGCTTTCATCTTGCTATGTTCCACAACTATGCATATTTGTATTATCTAGAAATGTCGAGTAATTCATTTGTCTTAGTTCTAGTTCAAAACTTGACAGCTTAAGTTCAAACTAGTTGGTTTAGTAGTTCATTATATTCAAACTAATAGTTCAAATGTTAGTAATATTTGTAGTTTATATATTATTACATGACTTCTGAATCAGGTTCATAGAAAGACTTAACATCTCTATGCTTTATAGATGCGGCTAATAGTAAAAAAAACATGCATGCTGATAGACTCTAGCTTATTATATTCAATGTACAAGCCAGTCATGTCGTTTTGTCTCTAATGCCTAATCAAGAAATCCCCTGTGCCTCCAATATCCACCTGTAATGCAAACAATTGTATCAATTGTAGCATTGAATGATTATGATAAACGGAGTCAAGGGCTTGTATGTATTTTTATGCTGTTATTACAATGTAATGTACTTCTATGGCACAAGAACATGACATTTTTCAGGAGGGATAATTTAAACTTATCATCGTAATTTTTAAAATACGTCATACATAAATTAGCATAAAGATAATTACTATTCAGTGGTAGTAAACTGACATAAAGATAATTATTATACAAATCAATTTCTTTCCAAAATTGTATAATTGAGTAAATGTCGAATTCGTAAACCCACATCCAAACAATATATCGAACAATATAAATATCGGTATAAAAATACATCAGTTTGAAGAATAAATTTATTTCTTTTTGCAAAGATGAAATCTTCTAAGATAACATTCATTATTTTAGCAATTGCACTCATCGCACTACCCTTGCATGCATTCCAAAACTATTACGAAAAAAGAAATAATTGCAATAAATTTAAAGATGTGGTCGTTTTTGGCAATAGCTTTTCGGGTAATATATGTCTCTCTTAATAATAGATAATGTTTAATAAATTTTACCGTTTATGTCTTTTATTTAATCTTATTACACGTGCATAAATAGATACTGGGAACGCATATAAATTAACCAAAAATAAATATCCACCATCCCCACCCTATTTTCATGGAAGGTTAAGTAATGGACCTGTCTGGCCGGATTATTTCGTATCCATAATCAAAGCTAATCTACATAGTTATGCTTTTGGTGGTGCTTCATGCGAGTGAGTTATTCATTGAATTTATATTTCATCTAATCATTTTCTATGTAATAAAAATTTATCAAATAAATTAATCATATTGATTGAAAATAGTTCCACATTAGTTCCATCATTTGTGGGTCCAAATAAAATTCCTGTTCCTGGACTCGTTCAACAAGTAGATGACTTTATCTCAAAAGACATTAAAAAATTTAATCTAGAGGAAACATTGTTTGTGGTATTGTTAATATTTTTTTTTCTTTTGACGTAATTGCTATTTCCATTTATTTTAATTTATGCATGTTATTGTTACTTTATGCTATAAACAGTTCGCTACTATTTTTCTAGACTATGACCAAACCTTAGGACAAGGAGATCCTGCAAAGATCGTAGCAAGTGTTGGCCAAAGGCTAGAAAATCTCTACAAAGCAGGTGCTATGAATATCATGTTCTTTACTTCTATGCCAACGGGTATATTTACCCCAGGTGAACTAGCCAATTTTTCACCAGATGTTTTAAAAGCAATTTCAGAAAAGTCAGCTCTTCATAATCAATACACAGACAGTGCTTTAGCTGCATTCAAAAAAGATCATCCAAATGTTAATTTGTTTTTAGTTAAATTTGATGAAGTCTTAAGTACTGCTTTTAGTCCTGTAACTTTACAAAAGTTAGGGATTACTGTTTTTGATATTGCTTGTATACCTGATAATGGTTTTGCTGGAAAACATAGTGTGGTTTGTGATGATCCTAAAAAATATTTGTATTTCGATAATAACACTGCCATTAACACTAAAGTTATTGAGGAAGCTGCAAAAAAAATTGTTACCTATTTAACAGTTTAATGTTTCAAGTTACTTGACATTATATCTGTTAATTTTATTAATATTATATTTTATTTGTTTATTCGATGAATTTTTGTTTTACTATATTGCATTTCAGATTAATTTAATATTACTGTATTACTGTAGTAAGTAATAAATAGTTAGATTAACAATAAAGTTTAATTCTTGATCTTGAATTTTTTTTTTCTTGGATAGTATAAATTAGACTGTATAAAATCTTGCTAATTTTATTAAGGCCATACAAACTTAATAAATTGGTTCTCATAACAAAATTTTTAAAAGTGACCCGAAATAAGATGAAACCAACTAGATTTTGTGTTTTACATTACCCTCCTTTTCTCTATCATAGTAAAAAATTTTAGATAAATATACATAGGGTTACAGAATATTTCAGAAAATTTTTATATAGTGTTAACCTACAAAAACGATTATAACTCTTGAACCACTGGACAGAATTCGATGAAACCACTACCATTTGAATCAGCACACTGAGACGGTTCTAACAAGGTATAAATCATCCATTTCTGATCACAGGATCACAAGATCGAATCTGATAACCAAATTAATAAGAAAGTTGCGATCTGATTGGTTGGAGAATAACTGCGCGAAATATCATACATATAACATATATCAAATATATGCATTTTGAAGCATCTATATTTTATATTATCTT